TCTAGGTCCTTCAAAAGAGTTATTGCCAAGGCAAAGTCAGAGCACATAGGCAGAATTGGCGAGAAACTAGTCCGTCTTCCTTCTGGAACCCGTGCATTCTGGTCTCTCGCCAAGGCTGTCCAGGGGAATTTCTGTCAGCCATCTTTTCCATCTCTGCACAGAGAGGACGACTCACTGGTCCATACCGCAAAGGAGAAAGCCGATCTTCTAGGCTCTTTCTTTGCATCCAACTCGACTATGGATGACGGGGGGAGTACGCCGCCGACCATCCCACGGTGTGAGACTGTACAACCAGTGTGTGTTGCTAGAGATGACCAATGGAACTTAGACGTGGTCCTTCACCGGTATATAAATAATGCAAATTATAAATTGTAAATTGTAATGTAAATTGTATAATATAATAATGTTCCATGATTACTTCTTATTTGTAATGGTGAAAAAAATGTGTACATATTAAATTCAAGCGCAAAAATAATTTTTTCCCATCAGTTTATACCGTCTGTAGTGTAGTTACCCAAGAAGTGGAGACTGTTAAGGACCTAGGTGTAGTATTCGATAAAAAGCTTACATTAATACCACAACTAGAAAGTGTAGTTAAAAGATCATCTCAGTCATTAGGTTTTGTTAAAAAAAAATAGTAAAGTATTATATACAAAAAAAAAAACTATTATACTTCTCAATTGTTAGAAGTATATTAGAATATTGTAGCATAGTCTGGCGTTCCTATTATTCTACCCATAATCTTCGCCTTGAGCGCATACAGAAAAGATTTTTATGGCATCTTGCCTTTTCAACACGAAAAGCATATAAAAATGCATCATATGTAGACAGATTAAAGACATTTAAAATGGTTTCACTGTCAAAACGCCGGGACATTTTGGATTTGCAACTTTTATATAAAATATTCAGAAATAACTTATATTGCCCTTTATTACTACGTAAATTTAATTTTCGTATCCCAAGTAGATCCGAGTTAAGAGCCGTGGTAGCTCAGATGGTTAGCGCTCACTGTAAATTTCACAGTACGCGAGGAAACCGGGTTCGATCCCCGCCGGCACCAATGAAATTGTTAATTGCAATTTTAAGTGCTGATTTACCAAGTGCACGGCGGTGAAGGAAAACATCGTGACAAAACCTGCATGTCTGAGATATAAGAAAAAAAAATATTTCGAAGACATGTAAAGTTCGCCAACACGCATCGAGGCAGCGCGGCAGATAATCCGTGCCCTAAAACCCTTTCAGAAATGACGGGGGAGGCCTGTACTCAGCAGTGGGATATACATATATAGGCTGTAACTTTACTTTAATTTTTACTTTACTTATCCCAAGTAGATATCCTCGTAAATTCATTACTCCTCTTTCGCCGCCTCTTCGTAGAAATGTGCTAGGATTTAATTCCCAGACTTTGCAGACTTTTAAATACCTATAATAATGTAGTAGATATTCAGCACGACTCTTTTAACGTTTTTCGGCACAAAATTAATGAAAATATTAATGTTTGTTTGAAGTAATTTTTTTTGTTTTGTATTAATTTAATAATTTTGTTTTATTTTTTATTTTAAGTTTGTAAGGTTTTAGCTATTATGTAAAGGCTTGTAGGAAATGCTGTGAGCACTAAGCATGCGGTGTTTACCTATTATTGAATGTGTACTTAGTTTATATAACTGTCTTAGAATTAAACACATGTATTAATGTAACATTTGTTGGTGAACCAAATAAATAAATAAAAATTATATGTTATTTAGTTATAATTTTTTATTTGTAATAGTGAAAAATAAAAATATACTTTCAAAACTATAGTAACTTTAATTTTTACCCTATACAACTTGCATTTTGTCACTTTTTTGTTTGCCTAATATATATGTATTTCTATTTAGTCACAGAATTCTGACATTACATTTTATAACCAAATTCTTTATATTATAATAGATGTAGATTTTTCTAGACAGTTAAATTATTTAACTTTTTATCATAACATACTAAAACTGCATATCTTCTAAAAACATTCGAAAAACCTCAACATATTAGAGACACCGTCCAAACACTCACATTTACTTTGCACTAAAAATCTAACAACTCCGTGCAAAAATAGAACACGTTGTATACAACCGTCTTTGATTATATACCTATCTATATAATCAAAGAACCCTGTATTACACAAGCGCGCGACCTTGTAATAGAGCGACGCATATGAAAAAACATAAACTTTGTAAACGTTTTGCTATAATTTTTGTAAGATAAGTGCAGTTGTAATTTACGTCATTAAAATCAGAATTTCATCTTCTAATTGAAATAAGAATTATTTGAGCGATAAAAACGGTCATCATACACAAATTTCATTGAAACCAAACCTTATTGGTTTATAATGAATTATGTACCTTCTGAGACATTTAGCCTTTTTATAAATAATATTGCTAAATGTTATATCTATATGATTGTATAAGAAAAATAAAGGAAGACGCTATAATATATACACAAAAAGGTTTCGAATATGAGGTTACAAAGCGCGCGCAAACTGTCTATTGTCGAATTTTTAGCAAATGTTTGCAAGTGAAAAAGTAGAATTATTATAATTATTACATGCATAATTTCGGTTCATTTAAGAAGAATATGTTGTGTTGATTGTAAGGATATAAAAATAAAATAAAAACTTACGATATTTATTTCATAAAATAAAATTTATCGTCAGTAAGTACACTTTATCAAGATCCGTTAGAAACAAAGATCTGTACAAAATGAAATAAACATTTACATGTTATGGTTATTGTTTCTACTTATCGAAAATCTTATCGGCTTTAAATAACTGTAACTAAAACCTCTTTAAACATAAACGACAGGTCATAAGAAACATAAATGTTTATAACAAGTGCCGCCAGCTGAAGTGATGACAGAGGCCCCGGTACAAAGCTGTTTTTTGTTATGGCGGACGCGGTAAGGGAAAGGTTAAGTCGGTGGATGAGGCGGCTCAGGAACGTCAAAGCACGTTGGTGTTTCCTTGGGGAGGCCTATGTTCAACGGTGGACTTATGGAGGCCTGTAATAATCATGATGATGAATAATCATTAATTAAGTGTTATTATGCCACTAAAGAGTACATGATTGATAATAACCCATTCCGTATTATGATTAATGAATCATTAATATTATCTAACTTTTAATTTTTCGAGTACCACTTACGCATAGCATCAACTTCACGTCTTACAAGAAGTGACGACATACTGAACATTTTGGAGGAATATGATGGTTATCAATCCAGTTCACCGGACGACAACTCCAACCTCATATAACACTGATATTTTACAAAAGTAAAAACAAGTATTTTGAATTAAATAAATAAATAAATTAAAATCTATTAAAATTCAAATCATATTCTGTATAGTGTTGTCTAAGCCTGCAATTAGAACAGCCTTATATGAAACGTCGCCTCGATATCAATAATCTTCAATCACTCAGAGTGATAATTCTTCAGGATTTGGGAGTAAAAAAAAATCAAAAGCACTTAACATAAAAAAACAGTTTTCTCAAAACCTTACTCTCTAGTCAAATTACAGAACTGCTAAAACTGTTGCTGCTGCACGTTTAATGAACCATCGTTCATTAAGAGTTCTGAAAAGGTTAAGAAACTTTAAATGTTCCTTTTTTTGCGCCCGAAGCAAATATGGGCAACCCTCCGGAAAACGGGGGAGGGAGGTGGGGAATGCTCATAGCATACCACGCAGCCGGCTGCGTGGTTATGTGGAGACTTTTACCCACTAAACCCCACCTTTTAGGGACTGGCTTAACGGTCTAACTAGAGATCTCTAAGCCGTATACGAACGCGACCATCCTTGGCAGAAAGGAGGGCGCAAGCGGCGAAAAGCCGCTTAGACGAGTGCCTAACTAAGGCAGATTAAGGGATGTGTTATGTAGGCTTGGCCTGAGCCGCCAGGAGGCAGTTCAGGTCAGCCGAAAGCTTGTTGGGGGGGTCCGAGAGAGAGTTTCTCGGTCTGCGCACACTATGGTGAGTGTGGATAGGGGCTGCATAGGCAGCTGTCTCACGAATGAGATGATTTGGGTGGGACCCTGAGGCTTTGAAAAATCTCTCAGGGAGTGATTTAAGGAACTGCTGGATTGTTGGGAGCTCTAAGTCTCGATGTAGGTCGGCATTACGGACATAATAGGGCGAGTTTGTGGCCCTACGACAGAATAGATTTTGAACTATTTGAAGTTCATTTATAGCTTTGGGCTTAGCATGTGCGAAAATGGGGGCCGCGTAGGTCATGACAGGTCGTATGCCGACCTTATATAGGGTTCGCTTGTTGCGGAGGGACATTTTACTGTGTCTGCCCAGCATGCTGTTGAGCCTACCCATGTAAAATCGTGCGGTGCGAGTAACCTTCTTGATATGGGGTTCGAAAGTGAGCCTTGCATCAAGGGTGACGCCTAAATATTTGGCTGTAGTTTGCCATGGGACAGGGGTTACTAACATCCTGATTGGCGGAGTGGTGGTGAAACGGCATCGTTTATATTCGAAGCAAACGGCGGAGCTCTTCTCCGGGTTTATGTCGATACGCCATTTTTGGAACCAAGCTCCTAAGTCTCTTACTGACTTTTGGATCTTGTTCCGAATCTGTGGCAGTGAGTTGCCTTTAGAGTAAAGGGCTATCTTATCTGCGAATAGGGCTAGTTTAACACTATTCGACGGGATAGGGATGTCGTTGCTGAATAGTATATATAGGAGGGGGGCAAAGAGCCTTTAGGGACACCGGCTTTGATTTGACGAGTAGAGGATAGCGTACCTTCGTGTCTAAAGCGAAAGGTACGATCCTTCAGATAGGAGGCTACAAGGCGAACGATACGGTCTGGGAGGCCTAAGTCGTACAATTTGTAGATAAGGCCCTCGTGCCAGACTCTGTCGAATGCCTTGGCAATGTCGGAGAAGACCACGATGGTTTTTTGAAGACGAGTATAAAAACCGCTGAGGATATATTTCACTATGCGGTGAACTTGCTGGGGGCAAGAATGTTTGGCTCGAAACCCGAATTGTTGTGGGATGACAAGAGGGTCGCCGTCTGTGGGAAACAAATGGCGCCTCATGCGCACGAGAATGAATCGTTCGAAAAGTTTGCCCCTGGCCTTGAGGAGGCTGATGGGACGGTGATTGGACGGGAGGTGGTGAGGTTTGCCTGGCTTGGGAATACCAATGACAGTTGCCTCTTTCCAAGAGGTGGGAAAATAGCTAAATTCGAAGCAGGCGTTGAAGATTATGGCCAATAAGGCGATCACCTGCTCCGGAAAGTATTTGAGGGCTTGGTTTGAGATGCCATCCGCACCAGGTGCCTTTTTGGGCTTAAGTCTTTTGATGGTAGATGAAATCTCATCTTTGTACAAAGTGATAGGGTCAGAGGCGGTAGGGGGCGAGTTCCGGCGACGGACCTCGTCCTCCACTAGTTGGATGTGTATAGGGTCAGTGGGTTGTGAGCTGGGGGAGCATTGAGCGGCGACGCTGTCGGCAAAGCACTCAGCCTTTTCTTCGTCCTCGAAGGCAATAGAGCCGTCGGGACGAGACAGAGGGGGGAGTATGCGTTATAGCGGCTATCCGGAGGGCTCTCGCTATCTGGTAGTACGCTGTGTGGGAGGGAGAGATTTTCTCCATGAGATTGCCCCTTTCGAGATCTCTGTAATCTTGGAGGCGGTAACGGAGTTTGCGTTGAAGGCGGTGGGCCGCGAGTCTATATTCGGGAGTGGGATAGCGTGCAGCTCTACGGAGGGCAGCTTTTTTGGCTTTTAGCAGGTTGCTAATATCTAGGGAAAGACTAGTTTTAGCAACCGGGACAACCTTTTTATTCTTTTTAAGAGAGGATGTTATAAGTGAGGTGAGATTTTCGACCGCGGTGTCTATTTGCCCCGTACTGTCGAGGACGTCCGAAGAAAGGGTTATGGGAGGGTCCGGAGTGTCTATAGCCAACGCTAGAGACTTCTTGAAGCCCTTCCAGTTGGTGTAGGTTTTGGAAGTAGGAGTTGGAGATGGCTGATGGCCAAGAAGGAGGGATACAGGACGGTGGTCGGATCCCAGATAATCGAGAGACTCGATTGCTCCAAGGTTAAGGGAGACTCCTTTAACTAGAGCAAAGTCAAGCACGTCAGGAGCGTAGTTAACATTATCGGGATAGTGGGTGACAGCGAGGGGGCCGTAGACAGTCAGGTCGAGAGACTGAGTGATATTGAGCAGCACCCTTCCACTACTGGTAGTAGTGCGGCAGGTCCATTCAGCATGCTTGGAGTTAAAGTCTCCAAACATAATGACTGAACCGCCTAATGCAAGGATGGCTTCGACATCACTCTTAACGGGGAGGGTTCCGCTAGGGATATAGCAAGAGGCTATAATTATTGACTGGTGTCCAGTCATGGCTAATCTAGTGATAGTGGCTTCGATACTGGTAAGCGTCGGAGTGGGTATGTGGGAGCAATGAAGGGACTTTTTGTAATAAATGGCAGTACCGCCGCCTTTGCGGTCGGGTCTGTCATTACGCAGAAGTGAATAATTTTTAATAGAGAGGCCTTTAGAGACCTTGTGGCTGAGGTGGGTGTCCTGAAGGAGGAGGAGGAGGTCGGCTACGTGATCTCGAAGAAATAGCCTAAGCTCTGGGAGGTTATTTCGCAAACCGCGGATATTGAATGAAGCAAGCGACAAACCCTTTGGTTTGATACGACCGTGCGATATAGCGGGAGCAGAGGGCTCCGGCATAGTGTTATTACAAAGACCTTAGTAGGTTGATGTGCTCAGTAAGAGCAAGGAGACGGTCCTGAGGGGACTGATCGGTGCGCAGTTTACGCGTGAGGATAAAGATTTCTATATTGATCTTATTCATAGTATTATACACTAGGCTTAGATCTTCTACTACAGGGTCTGCCTGTTTTTGTGGGTCGGGTTGAAAGCGCCGCAGGCTGGGAGAGCGAAAGGCTCATAAGGGGCCGAGGAGGGCCCTGAGGGGGCCGATAATGCCCAGTGTGGGCTGAGATGAGCCCTGAGGGGGGATGACGTAGGGGCTGGCCCTGGCGGGGCTTGCGGCTTACAAGAGGTGGGCGAGGAGCGCGAGAGCAACCTCTAAAATTGGCCGGGTGGCCTGTTTGTCCGCAAAGGACACATGAGGGTAGGGATTCGGCGTTTTTGGGCCGAGGGCACTCTTTCGAGTGATGGGGTTCTAGGCACTTAACGCACCTGGGTGGAGCTGAGCAGTTGGCTGCCACGTGCCCATAGAGTTGGCATCGGTGGCACTGCGCTGGGTAACCGCGCCAGTGTGGGGCTTCGACCTTTACACGCGACAGGCCGCACACAGTGCGTACATCGCGGAAGATGGCCTTCGCCTCCGGCACATTGGTGAGAACGAGGAGGGCGAGGTTAAATCTTTCGCCCCTGCTGCTGTGCATTTTGTGCACAGCTTCTATGGGGAAGCCCTGGGACTTAAGGTCTTCCAGAATATCCTCGTTTGCTAGTTCATAAGGAACTCCGCGGAGGACTGCCTTAACCTTCCTTTCCTCGGCGAGGGCGTATGTGTGACACACGCTCGGCCGTGAGGAGACGGGTTCCGGAAGTCTTCTATAGACGCCGGCATGATTTTGATGGCCTCGCCGACATTGGTGGCTTGGTCATATTTGAAATCCTTATCGTAGAGGGTTTTGGATAACTGTGTGAATTTAGCCTTGTCTCTGAGAAAGACAGGGGGGCGGAACTTGGATTTTAGCAAATTTGGGAGCGCAGCGGGTTGCTGGCTTGGCGGTAGTGTCTTTCGACTGAGAGGCGGCAGCGTTTGGGGCCGCGGAAGTAGGAGCAACGGTGGGAGCTGCGGAGGTCGAGGCAGTGGCGGAGGGTGTGCGGGCGGCGGCGGCGGCTGCCGGGGCGGGGGGAGGGCGGGAAGTTACGGCGCGTTTCGGGCCGCGCTTAGATTTCACTAGCGTGAATTGGGCTGAGTCGGTTATCGTTCCTTCGGAGTCGGATGAATCCGAGGAGCCGGTGGAGCTGAGGGCGGTCCTCTTTCGGGAAGAGGAGGTAACGGACATGGTGACGAGAGCGATCTCGTCGATTTGGATCGGTAGGCCTGTGGCTTGGACGAATTGGGCGACCATGGCCATAAGTTGGCTCTCGAAATTGCTCATGTCTATGGCAGACATGATGCTAGACATGGTTTGGACGGGGGGGGGGGTGATGATTTTAGTCTAAGAATCTAGAGGTCCCTGCTCTGAGAAGAACAGGGCCTTGGGTGGCAGATGGGGAGGACTGACGCTCTATTCCCAGAAGATGGGGTCCCTATGTTCTGACAAGAACAGGGGCTCGCTCTGAGAAGAGCAAGAACGATCTTCCAAGAACAGTAACAAACAACAAAGTAACAGTATAACAATAAACAATAACAGAACAATTAAAAGTAAAACAACAAACAAAACAATAAAAGCAAATCGCGCTCAAACCTCCCCGCCGGAGCGTGGGGGCAAGAACGATGCGAAAACAAAGGACCTCACCAACGGCGTCTACTCGGCCGGTGTTAGCCGAGGAGAGTGGGGCGCGCGGACGAGAGGTTGCACTCCGCACGAGGTCGGAGCGCGAACTGTATGCACGACCGCACGGGGGCGGTGCGCAGACGGAACTTGTTGTGTTCCTCTAACTTCTTCCTCACACACACATGAAATTTTTTTGCTATCCTATTATCTGTCACTCATCTGTCGCAAAGGTCTTTTTTTAATAACAAGTGGTAACTTAAAAATTTTGTACAACCGACTTTAATATAAATAAAATAAGAACATCATCAATGTAGTCGATGTCAATTAAATACGCATTATAACTCAAAAACTGGTCAGATCTTGATCAAATTTATGTATTTATGGACCACATAAGAACTACCATCTTTTAAATAAAATAATAATACGTGTGGCACTCGGTGACTGCCGCGGTAAAGCTATTGCATAGCATTTTTTATCAACTTATGCAATTATAATTATTTATTTATTTTATTTATGCAGTTAAGTCTTTGATATTAAATCAAGTTACACTTTTTGAGCGTGGTGACCGATAAGAAAACAATTTTTTTTCTCTTATTGAATAAATGAGAAGTTAATATTGTTTAAAATATTTTTAATATCTTACAATACATGTAGGTTATTCAGGAATTTTTATCATTGAGTTAGCAGCTAGTGTACACGCATACGTCTAGTCGCACGAACACAAACACCGTGCCGAAGTCTGCCGAGTGCCGAAGTCTGCCGAACGCACTGCTGGACGTTAGACGATGCACTGCTTTCAACGCCACACCTCCGTGCCCGTTGGAGTGGGGAGCGTGAGGTTTGTTATCGTTACGGAATTTCTGGATTCGGTCCCCGCGCTCAAGGCCCGCGATAGAAGCTATGCAATAGCTTAATAATCATCGAAATTGGTTCAAATATAAAAAGTCCTGAGGTAACACACATATACCGTACCGTACACGCAGAATATCGTCGAATTGTGTACCTCCTCCTTTTTTTAAGAAGTTTAAAAAGAAAATTAAAGTACAAAAAAACTTGCTTTCAGCAGTACAGAAATGTGCCAAGTCCTTTTTTGTTTAACGATAAAACTTATGGTTACAGGCTTCATTGTCACTAGCCGTTTCCTATTTTTTAGTGTTTATATACTTGGCAAAGGTAGAACGTTGTGGAAGACAGGCAGTTTCTTACTAAGAAATGTCACGGTTTTTGTTTGATTTCAAATGCAATGATACACACACATTTATTGCTTAATTTCGATGGAATTTTAAAGAGTATATAATCACTACGTTTTAAGCACTTTTGATATCACATATCCTCTTGTGATTTACCAACTGCGGTTACTACATATTGAATCATATCATCATTAGCATAGATTTCAACTTGGGATCCCAGATGATACTAAAAAAACACAAACGTAGAATTCAGGTCCAGATGGACTGTGGTTCTCTTGTAGGACAATCGTAAGAAGATTTCTTCAGATCTTTTATATTTTATGAGTAAGTAGAGTAGAGTTATTAGTAAGAGGAGGTCAAGACAAGAACCTCTATACTTGTAAAATTCAGTATAATATTCATCTATAATATTTATAAAGTCTTTTGTTTTTGCAACACGTACAATATATATTACTCTTTTACTCCACCCATACATTTTAACCCTTTTTATTTCCTTTTATATTTTCCTAGAAGAAATATGTATCAATAAGTAATGTCGTTTTGTTATCTTTCCCTATTTGTCTATTTTATTAGAATTGACTGGTCTAATGGTCGTAAACGCAATTGCTTATCATGCGGTCCTAGGTTCAAATCCCGTGTCTGGTAAAAACATAATTACGTTTATCAGTCACGAAGTTCTTAGTAGCAGACCGGAAGTTGGTGGTGTTTTACCCCCGCCACCAGCAAGCACGCAAAGTTGTAAGTCCTGAAAATCTCTCCGGTTGTTAAGGATTAGCGTCCCATTAGACTACGAGAGTGAGAGAATAGAATAGAGAGTGAGATTCTGCTTTAGTACGCACTTGGGCACTATAACTATGTCATGCGCAGATGAAAGCTGCTAGTCTCCAATGAGACTGGCCACCGTGAACCAAATTCGTAAGTTTACATACATTACACAGGTGAGCATACGCCTGTCCTCATTTCAGTGACGGTGAAGTAATTGCTCCGCCTCGGTACTTCATTGTATGTTGACGGACTTCATTTCAAAAAACAATTTTTATTCCGCAGGTACGCAGGTTTCCTCACAATAGTTTTTATCACCTCCGAGCATGTGATAAATCAGTACTTGAAATTTACCGGCCCGGAACACAGCTTTGTACAGCTTTTATTGCAATAAGACAATTCTGTTGACGACGTCATTAAATTATACAGACGTGTTTAATGATTGTGATTTTTTTCTGTGAGGTAACACTTAAGTTTAGCAGTGGTTTTGACATGTTTGGTATAAATTGGTTGTTAGATGTGCCTTTTTCGTTACTATGACAGTAACACACTATGGCTGCTGTACATTAAATGAATATTGAAAATTTGTGACGCCCACACGGCAGTCCAGATTTACCCCCTAGGGATTATTATTTATTTGCAATAATAAAAAAAAGTTTGGGGGAAAAATTTGCGACGATAAGACTAAGAGCACAATTTTGGTCTATTTCGAGGAGAAATATGTTTTTGACAGCATACACACGTTAATTTACTGACATGAAGAATAAGCAACGATTCAATCCAATATCTCTTAAGTTCACAATTAATTTTACAACAATAACAATGTTATATGGGAGGTGTAAGAATAACCACTACCCCATAACATCCCGTGGGTGTCGCAAGAGGCGCCAGAGAGAAACACATCAGGAGATAAAAAAATCGTCAAACGTCCCGATACCATCCACACCATCTGGATGCTTGGCGGTCCACCACTGTACGTTTCACAAGGAGTTTTCTTCCACGTACAACCTCTCTGTGGAATAGTTTACCACTGGCAATTTTTCCGGACCGATACGACCTGGGGACCTTCAAGAAAAGAGCTTACTCCTTTCTAAAGGGCCGGCAACGCACCCGCAATTCTCCTGGTGTTGCGGTTGATCATGGGCAGCGGTAGTCACTTAACATCAGGTGAGCCGCATGCTCGTTTGCCCCTTCTTCTATAAAAAAAAGATGGACAGCAGCGTCTTCCTAATAACGACATAAAATAAAAAATTGCGGTTTTCAACCAGTTCCCCAAGCGTGGCAACTATGGCAAATATCCCCTGTGGGGCAATCTATGGGGGAGGCCTATGTTTAGCAGCAGACTTTAATAGGCTGTAACAACAACAATATTCTAACAACATATAACCGATGGAATTCATTCATTTTTGTCGATATAACATCATTTTTATATTTTTTTTTTAGAACTCTCACTAGATTTAAAATTTAAGCAATTTCCTGCTGCGTAAGCTTTTGAATTCCAAACGAAACACCATATTAAATAATTGTGCTTGAGTATTGAAGCAATGTAACAAAAAAACGCTAGCCATAAAGTATACTTATTATATGCACGTGTATAATTTTGCTAGGGGCAATGATACCCTAAGAATAAAAAAAAAAACGTTAATATAACAAATATTTTATGATTAAATTTTAACTAGTCTTTATTTTTAAAAGATATAATTATAAAAAACAATAACAATCTTTATTGATGTAGCGGCGCTGTCGTCGCGCCACAAGCGAAATACACCGAAGCTTAAATCACGCTATCAACATTCCGAATCATAGACAGTATATATAGAACTTCTCCGAACTATCACTCGGAGTGTCGGCGCGCTCCCCGGGCACAACACCTTGCCCGGCGGGAGATCTCCCCTTTTCCTTCCACGGCCACAGTGGTGACCCCGACGTGATCTGAACACGCAACCAAAACAACCTTCGGAAACTTCAAGCTTCATCATCGTC